CAGGGCTACACTTAGAGACAGACAACCAAGCACACTCACATTCACACCTACGGACAATTTAGAATCACCAATTAACCTCAACATGTTTTTGGAGTGACTGCAAGGTGGCGCAGTTGGTAACACTGTTGCCTCACAGTGAAGGTCGCTGGTTCGTGTCCCGGTGGGGTCACTGGGATCTTTCTGCGTGGAGTTTGCATGTTCTCCCCGTGCAGCGTGGGTTCTCTCCGGGTTCTCCGGCTTCCTCCCACACAGTCCAATGAGTGTTTTGTGTAAAAAAATATATATATATATTATTTCATGTGCCAGAAAAGCAATAGTGATACAGGTCGCTCTTTGTGTGGTTTGAGTGAAATGCATGAAAATCATGAATCTTTTTTTTAAAAAAAGGATTTAAAATACAGAAATGTCCAGCTTCTGAAAGTATTTTCATTTATGCACTCCATACTCGACTGGGCTCCTTTACCATGAATTACTGAAGCAGTCTGACGTGGAGCTGTGTTAAACTGCTGAGGAGTTATTAGAGCCCAGGTCGCTTTCATAGCAGCCTTAAGCTTGCTTGTATTTTTTGTCTTTCATCTTCCTCTAGACAGAACTCCATAGACCCTCCATGTGGTTCAGGTCAGGTGAGCTGGACAATCAAGAACAGTAAAATCATGGTCAGCAAACCATTTGATAGCAGCTTTGGATCCGTGGGACAGTTTTAAGTCCTGCTGAAAATGGAAGTCGGCATCTCAAATAAGCTTGTCAGCAGATAGAAGCATGACATGCTCTAAAATCTCCGGCACCTTGATTTCCAAATGAAAGGCAAAATTTACTTTTATCTGAAAAGAGAACTTTGGGCCACTAAGCAACAGTCCAGTCCTTTTCTTTCTTATTCCAGATTTCTGATGTTGTGTCTGGCTCCGGAGTGGCCTAATATTAGAAACATGACGGCTGTAGCTCCTTTCCTGGAGACGTCTGCGCTTGGTGCACTGACACTAGCATCAGTCCACTCCTCGTGAAGCTCTCCATAGTTTTTGAATCGACTTTTTCCAATCCTCTAAAGGCTGTGGCCATCTCTGTTGCTTGTGCACCTTTTCCTGCCACACTTTTCCTTCAGGCAACTTTTCATTAATATTGTAAAGAATTAAAAAAATATATATTCATGTTTTTTGAAATGCACCTGTAATGGTTGAACTATAAACAGTCTGTGGGTTACATTTAGCACACAGGTTTTTTGGAAGGATATAAATCTGTGAATAGAAAGCTTGCTGTAGAACTACAAATTGACTGTAAAGATGTTATTTTGGTGTTCGTGCTGAGAAACTACCCTCAAAGAAAGTTTTTATTCTAAATCTAATTGTGATGTTGGCCAAATTTCACATTCATAGCTGTAAATATTTAAACCAAAGGCCCAAACTGGTTGTGTTTGAGTCATTGCTGTCCTCTTATTTGACCTCCTTGAATTACTGCACTGATGCTAAATAGTACGTGCAGAATTTGAATGTAAAAAGGTGTTTATTTTTGAATTTTATTTATTTTAAAGACTGAAACCGAAGCCTGAGCCTCGAGCAATGTTCTTGTGAATCTTTAACTTAAAAATAATAATAAAAAAGGGGTTAGTTGACATTTCCATTCTTCCCGCTGGGGGCGCTCTAACCCACGTCTCAGCCGGCAGTCTGCTCCATGTGAGTGTAGATCTGCTCTGCTCGTCTCCATGTTGTGCGGATCCGCGCAACACTTCCTTTCCTGACGCGAGTTACCCGGCAAGGCTGCCGCACGCTGTTTCTGTAACCGCTCGACAGCCAAACTGGATTTTACAACAACACAGAGTGGACAGACAGACAACAGAATAACTTCTACCAGGACGTAGGTGAGTCTGGCTCAGTGTATGATAAAGCTAAGAGCTACTCTTCGCCTTGGCGACGTGTATTTACCGGCTTCTCATGCGGGGAGGCCCGGCGCTCCCTCCCTCGGTTGGTGCTAACATTAGCTTAGCAGCGACCCCCCCAGCTGCGCCACGTTAGGGTTAGCCTCCCATTATCCCATATAAATCTGCCTTACCCTGCTAACTAACCCGCTGCGTTGTGTAACTACATTATGTCAGTCAACTTAAGTCATATTATGTCGTATTTGTGTCTGCAGCTACAGTTTGGTGTCCTCTTTGCTGGGATGCTAGCAGCCCATATGTCAAAGCTACATACCGTTAGCTCACGAAGAGACGCTGCTAGCTAACGTTAGCATCGTCTGTACAAACCTCCATTGACGTTTGTCCACAGAAGCTTATCGCAAACTACAGACATGCCCTTTAAACAAAGTTATCATCAGCAGTCTGCTCGTTAAAAGTGTGCATAAATATACTAACCTGAAATAACTCACCCTGATTCAATGGATAACTGTTTGTAGCATAATGTGCCTAAAAGTGATGATGGTCTGGATGAACTAGCCTGATGTCTCTGCATGTCTCCTCTGTTATAACCAGTCTGGCTGTTTTATGCCTGTTGTAGCTTTAAAAGACCAAATCTATTCATATAATGCAGTTTTCCTGAACTTGTTTGCAGCCTCTCCTTTGTGACTGAAACGTTATTACTGCATCAAATGACTTGATTTCATCTATGCAAGATATATTTAAAAGATTTTACCCTACAGGGTAATTGTAAAAAAGATTATTTATTCATTTTATACATGGAATTATTTGCATATAATGTCAATTACTGTTTAAACAAAGATACTGGACACAACTGCTATATAACCTAAACATAGGAAACAACTAATGCATCCTGATGTCAGGCCTGGTTACACAACCAACATTTTTTGGTCACAATTTAGTAGATAGCCATCTTTTGGCGTGACAGCTGGGTGTGTGTCTTTGGCTGGGTAGATAGATGGAAATCTAGNGGGCTGCCAGTGTTATACTCTGAGATACTTGGAAGTTTCTTCAGGGTATACATGAACCTGTGATATTATAAATAAATGTGTTGTGAAATACATTCGTCTTTCGTGCTTTGTGCTGATGTTGTGTCTGGCTCAGGAGTGGCCTAATATTAGAAATATGGCGGCTGTAGCTCCTTTCCTGGAGACGTCTGCGCTTGGTGCACTGACACTAGTATCAGTTTACTCCTCGTGAAGCTCTCCCAAGTTCTTGAATTGACTTTTCTTAACAATCCTCTGAAGGCTGCGACCATCTCTCTTGCTTGTGCACCTTTTTCTGCCACACTTTTCCCTTTCAGTCAACTTTTCATTAATATTTTAAAGAATTAAAAAAAATATATTCATATTTTTTGAAATACACGTGTAATGGTTGAACTATAAACAGTCTGTGGGCTACATTTACCACACAGGTTTTTTTTTTGGAAGGATATAAATCTGTTTGTGAATAGAACGCTTGCTGTAGAACTGCAAATTGTAAAGATGTTATTTTTGGTATTCTTGCTGAGAAATTATCCTCAAAGAAAGTTTTTATTCTTAATCTAATTTTGATGTTGGCCAAATTTCACATTCATAGCTTTAAATATTTAAACCAAAGGCCCAAACTTGTTGTATTTGAGTCATTGCTGTCCTCTTATTTGACCTCCTTGAATTACTGCACTGATGCTAAATTGTACGAATTTGAATGTAAAAAGTCGTTTGTTTTTGAATTTTTTTATGACTGAAACTGAAGCCTTGTACACTTGAGCCTCGAGCCATGTTCTTGTGAATCTTTAACTTAAAATAATAATAAAAAAGGGGTTAGTTGACATTTCCATTCTGCCCGCTGGGGGGCGCTCTAACCCACGTCTCAGCCGGCAGTCTGCTCCATGTGAGTGTAGATCTGCTCTGCTCGTCTCCATGTTGTGCGGATCCGCGCAACACTTCCTTTCCTGACGCGAGTTACCCGGCAAGGCTGCCGCACGCTGTTTCTGTAACCGCTCGACAGCCAAACTGGATTTTACAACAACACAGAGTGGACAGACAGACAACAGAATAACTTCTACCAGGACGTAGGTGAGTCTGGCTCAGTCTATGATAAAGCTAAGAGCTACTCTTCGCCTTGGCGACGTGTATTTACCGGCTTCTCATGCGGGGAGGCCCGGCGCTCCCTCCCTCGGTTGGTGCTAACATTAGCTTAGCAGCGACCCCCCCAGCTGCGCCACGTTAGGGTTAGCCTCCCATTATCCCATATAAATCTGCCTTACCCTGCTAACTAACCCGCTGCGTTGTGTAACTACATTATGTCAGTCAACTTAAGTCATATTATGTCGTATTTGTGTCTGCAGCTACAGTTTGGTGTCCTCTTTGCTGGGATGCTAGCAGCCCATATGTCAAAGCTACATACCGTTAGCTCACGTAGAGACGCTGCTAGCTAACGTTAGCATCGTCTGTACAAACCTCCATTGACGTTTGTCCACAGAAGCTTATCGCAAACTACAGACATGCCCTTTAAACAAAGTTATCATCAGCAGTCTGCTCGTTAAAAGTGTGCATAAATATACTAACCTGAAATAACTCACCCTGATTCAATGGATAACTGTTTGTAGCATAATGTGCCTAAAAGTGATGATGGTCTGGATGAACTAGCCTGATGTCTCTGCATGTCTCCTCTGTTATAACCAGTCTGGCTGTTTTATGCCTGTTGTAGCTTTAAAAGACCAAATCTATTCATATAATGCAGTTTTCCTGAACTTGTTTGCAGCCTCTCCTTTGTGACTGAAACGTTATTACTGCATCAAATGA